TTCTAGATTTAATAAAATTTTGAGTGATCTTAGATCTGTTGATTCTTCTTATGATGCTAATTATCCAAAATCTGAAATTTCTCGTCACTTTTTGAATGGTCTCGACATGTCTATTTGGGAGATGAAAGTTACATCTATTCAGTAGTCTGTTAATATGTCTACTTTGACTTTGGATTCACTTTATACTAAATTGAAAACACATGAGATGAATATTCTTTCTCGCAAAGTTGATTCTAAATCGAGTGCTTTGATTTCTTCTTCTTCTTCTTTGATTGTTGATGCTTCTTCATCTATGCCTTCTTTTCTTGCTGCTTTTAATGCCACATCCGATGATCAACTCGAACAAATCGAGGAGGAGGATTTGGCTTTGGTCGCTAACAGAATTGCTCGAGCTATGAATAATGCTAGGAACAGGAAAAGAGGTGGTCCAAATCGTTGCTTTGAATGTGGTTCAATTGATCATCTTCGTTCGCATTGTTCTAAGCTTGGGAGAGGCAAAAGAGAAGACAAAGATGGTGAGAAGACCAACAACAACAAGCCCAACAACTACAACAAGTCAAAGGGTTCTAACCAAGGGAGGAAGATGGAGAATCTTAAGAAGGCTTTTCAACAAGTTTGCGCCGCTTTCGAGCCACTAAGTGATGTAGATAGTGAAAGTGGAGATGATGATAAGGGAAAGAATGTCTCCGATGTTTGCTTCATGGCGCGTGGTGAATCTGACACAGAGTATGAAGATAATGAGGTGAGTGCTTTTGAGGAAGCTATTAATATTTTGAGTGCTAAAAATAAAAAGTGTAAGAAGATGTATAAAAAACAGGAATTTATCATTGAATCTCTTAAATCTGAAATTGATAGGTTAAAATCTCTTATTCCTAATGATGATGATTGTGAAAATTGTGAGGTTTTAATGAATGAGATTTCAAAAATTAGAGATGTTAACGCTGCACATGATTTGAAAAATAGATCTTCTCTTGCTTGTTGTTTTGCTTTGCACACACGCACTTTGGATGAGTTGTTTTTAACTAAAAAGTTGTTGCAAAAATATCAAATTGCTTTTCATGCTAGTTTGATGTTTAACATGATTTCTGCTAAAAAGTTAATACAACCTCATGATGTTTTGGATTGCTCAACATGTAATTTGAATAAGATGAAACTAAAAGATGCTTTAGGTCGTGTTGAGTATATGGAAGATGTTGTGAAAAACAATGAAGTGCTTTCTTGCCCCAAATGTCGTAAAAGCAAAGATGTCATGGTAGATTGTGAAAATTGTGCTAATTTGGAAAAATAGGTTTCTTATTTGAAAAATTCTTTGCTAAGATTTTCTGATGGTAAAAAGAACCTCAATATGATTTTGGATCAATCAAAGGTTAGCACAAATAACCATGGTTTAGGTTTTGATCCTTATGCTCATAATTCTAGACATCTTCCTGTTGTGTTAGGTGTTGGTGCTAGAAGAGGTGAGATTTTGATTAAACATGATACTAATAAAACTGTGTTTAAATCTGCTGGTATCATGTCTACTATGAATGCATCTTCTTCAAAATCCAATGTTGTGCATGTAAAACCTCCTGTTTCTGCTTGTGTTGCTAAATCTTCTTGTTCTAACAATGTGTCTAAACAACGTGAAAAATATACTTGTTCTTTATGGCAACTAAGGACGAAGCTTTTCAACACTTTCGTGGTTTGTTTCTTCGATTGGAGCTTGAATTTCCTGGTTCTTTGAAAAGAATTCGAAGTGATAATGGTGGAGAGTTTAAAAATGCTTCATTTGAACAATTTTGCAATGAAAGAGGTCTTGAACATGAATTTTCTTCTCCTCGTGTTCCTCAACAAAATGGTGTTGTAGAAATGAGATGTTGAGTTGCAGTTTTTGGACACAAAGTTGAAAATTGCTAATATGTTCACTAAACCTTTGGATTCTAATCGCTTTGCTTTTCTTCGTGGTGAATTGGGCGTAATTCATCCCTTTGGCATGGTTTGAGGGGGAGTTTGTACCTCATGGTTTTATCAAGCAATAATATGACAATGAAAAACTTGAGAAAAGAGAGCTTTGTTTACGCATATGGTATTTTCTTGTGCATGCTAGCAATACTTTGAAGGTTTATTTGTCTCTAGCATAGCTTGTATGTATTCTAGTCTTTTCATGAGATTTAGATTTTGCTTTTAAGGGAGATGATGCATGACACTTAAATTCTATACTTGAATTAAGCAAATATGCAATGTTGATGCTAGCATATGGTTTGATCTATAAATGCTTTATATATATGCTTTATTGACTTGTTATTCCTCAAATAGCTTTAATTGCTCATTGTGCAAAAGAGAATAAAACTATGAAAAAAATGAATACCGAATCCTTGGAAACAGTCTTGACGACAAGGACATATTCGATGTGAGCAAAATAATGGGTGCCGAATCCCTGGAAACAGTCTTGACGACAGGGACGTACCCGGAATAAAAAGAGAAAAATATGAGTAAAAAGGCTCAAGAAAAGAAAAAGTTAAAAAAATTTCTCTTGGTTATTTTGTGCTAAAAGGTTATTTGAGAAAGAGTGATCAATGCAATAGGTATATGTGTTTAGTGTTTGTTCTTCAACCTATGTGCTTGTTAAAATGTTGCATTATAAATCGTATGAAATTATGAATTTTGATTGTTGATTCAAGCTTAATTGTAAAATCTTTGGTTCATGGTTATACTTTAATGCATGCTTGTTTTGTTATAGATGGGTTTATCTTCTTTTTATTGCAACACATGACTTGATATGCTATATGTATGCTAAGCTCTTGAACATTAATGAACATAATTCCTATGCTTGATGAAATCATTGTCAAAGGGGGAGAAGTAATGTGAAAATTTTTGGATTTTTGGAGAAGCAAGATGAATTTTTGGAGAGTTGTTGAGAAGAGCATGTTTGTTGGTTCAATTAGGAATTTCTTTCTTTTAAAAAGGGAGAGAAGTTTTCTTTTGGATTTTTTGAGCACGATGTGTACATTTGTATGAAGTGTGCTTTTTACCACCAAATATCAAAACATTTTTATGAGTTTGCCAATGTGTTCATCAAGGGGGAGATTGTAAAATCTAAGATGTTTTTGATTATTATTCTGTGATGAACAATTGGGCATTGGAGTTTATTGGTTTTGTTATTTGGAATTTATTCACGAAGTGGTTTTGGAGATGATTGGATTTCACAGGTGAATATACAGGTACTGCTGTGGTTTTATGTGGACCGGTCAGACCGGGCTCTGGTAGCCGGTCAGACCGGCGTGTAATGCGTGGTTAGACCGGCGCAGCCCGCGGTCTGACCGGCCGACACTGTGTCGGTTTCTGTTTCGGGTTGTTTATTTGAATATCCGAGTTTATTCCATGATTATGGCTTCTAGATGGATACTATACGTATGTAATACTATTGTTTGCTGCTAATGAGTCAAGTTGGAGATAGCTTAGTCTCGGAATATGGTTTCTTTGTTTGTTCCATGTGTAGGTGACTCGATGTCTCGGGAGAGTATTTGCGGTGATGGACCGGGAGTCGGCTTGAGGATAAGACGACGTTCGTGGTGGTCAGAGATCATGCGGGATACTTAGGCAAGAGTTGATGCACGTGGTTGATGGAGATTCCATATGGCATACGATGGAGGAATTGTGTGCGTATGGGATGCGGAGTCGAATTTGGAAGGAGTCCAAATTTGGTACGTTTGGTTATGTAAAGTTTCTTTCTTGTACTAGTATGTATAAGTTTGGTTCGTGGCTTTAGGCTGCCTACCTCATGTATAAATAGAGGGGGAGCGTGAGGCTTCCCGGTATCGCTACGGAGAGCAATTGAGTTGAGTTTTGAGTTAAGGTTTCGAGTTTAGTCGAAATTTTTGTAAGGAATGCTGTTGGTGCACTTTGTAAACACAGAGAGAAGTAATAAAGTCGTCATCCACTTTAAGAGTTCTTCGATTTGTGTTTCACCGGGTTTCGGCGGTCTAATCGGCGGCGCACCGGCGGTCAGACCGGCGGCATCTCGGCGGTCCGACTGGCGGGCACACAGCGGTCAGACCGGCGGCTACAGGAGTCGGCGACAGGCGTTTTCGGCGGTTCGACCGATCGATCTACATTGGTCAGACCGACGTTCATCAGGCGGTCAGACCGGCGCAACTACTTCGGTCAGACCGTGATCCATCGATTTCGAGGGTAACTTTTATTTCCGCTAAAAGTTTTCGGTTTTTGGGTATACCAACCATTCACCCCCCTCTGGTTGGCTTAGTTCTTTTGATTCGATCCTACAAGTGGTATCAGAGCCTGGCTAGGTTAACATCTCTGGCCCGATGGACACGTGTGAAGGCCTGATGGACCGTGGGTGCCTGCGGGACCCGTATACCTGATGGACCGTGGGCCGGTGGGGGCCCGGATACGGTGAAGGGGCGGTGAAGGGCTGAGGGACACCAATGTGTGAAGGGGGAGATTGTTGAATAGTCCCATATTGGTTGTGAATGGGCAAGGGACCTAACATATAAGTGGGGGAGCCCCTCACCTCAATGGCTAGCTTTTGGGGTGGGAAAGGCCCTTTACGATCCTACACAAAGGACATACCAGCTGTCCGTGTTAGAGTTTGAAATTGCTTCCATATGTACACTGTTCGGTCATCATCTACCAATATCATGAGATGAGAGTAATTAGCATTATTGTACCAAATACCTGATGGTTTAATATATGCAAGCCATTGTAGACAATTTAATATATTTTTTTAGATAATGACATAGATAATTTAACATATAATGAATTATTGAACTTGTTTTTTTATTTTACTTCAAAATTGGTTGGTAATAATCTGTTTAATATTTAAATTGCAGATTGGCTTGTAAGATTTACTTAGAATGAAGACATCATGATTTTTAATAACTGATTTAACTACATGTAACATACACGAATACCTTATGCAATTTAAATACACTATAAATTATAAACCATGAAATTTGATAAAAAAATTATTCCATTCATTCATAGAGAGTGATTAAGGGACAATAAAAGCAAGTTTGATAATAGAGGTGACTATATATTCCCTCTAATTTTATCTATTTCATATACACATAAACTAATAGACAAGATATACAACATGTTACCTCTAATAAACAAACCCCTAATTAGTGCTATCATATTTGTTATAGTGTACATATAGAGGCTACCTCTTGCACGGGAGATGCCTCATCTTCTCTCTTTTTCATCACTTCTCTTCTCAAACTCATCACATAATCCTATTTAATTAACAATCTTAGAGGCAGCACATCAAATTTCCTTACACTTGCTCTAATTCTATTTCATGAGCATGGTCTGTAAATGGATCCTTTGCCTCAAAACATATATTTAGTAGCAGCAGACAAGCATCCTTGCCTCAAGCTGCCTCTCCATGTTGAACCTTGCAATGAAGTCCTCCACTCTACGATTCAGCTCATCAGTTGGCAACCCAACATCTTCCTCCTCAATCATTTCCTCCTCGATTACCTTGCCTAGTGATATTGCTCCTCCCTGTTCTTCCACTTCCTCACTTTCTCCATTATTGCCAACATTAGCACCAATTGCTAAGTTATTATTGTTGTTGTCTCGTCTCGATTCCTTGTCCATGGACATGGTTGATGAAGCATCCACTTGTTCACATTGATCTAGCTGTTGCAGGCTGTCATCATGTACAATTACCGTGCTAACTTGCTCTTCAACAACATGGTTAACAATCACATCGTTTGACTTGGTAGTTAGAGTGAAAGCTTCAACCCTATATCTGATGGAATCATCAGAGCCATGATTGGTCGGGATCGGAGACTCGCCGAAGCTCTCCCCCTCGGAGAGTTTTAACTCGCTGGCGAGGAAGATGACGATGATGTTGGAGAAGATGAACAGGCACCTCGGTGTCGCGAGGGTGGAAGCCGCGGAAGGGACCGAAACCAAGAACATCTTAATGCAGGAATACATGTGTGGCACCCATGTCACCATGGATAGGATGGCCAGGCCAAGAAGAGTGGCTTTGAACAAGGCCTTGGCCTGGCTTGCAGAACTTCCTTCCATGGCGGTTTTCGCAGTAAGGAGACGTGGTGGTGATGGCTTGGTTTCGTTGATAGCAGGAGAAGACCATACATATGCATGAGAGCACAAGAAACCCAATGAGTGGATTGCACATATACCGGGTCGCCTATTTATAATGAGATGGTAGTGGCCAAGGTCTCTGTTCCTTTCCTCTAGTATGCAGGCTAAGTTATTCTCGAGTCAAAATCACTTGATTCTTTGCCTTGCTTTGTTCCTACGGACCACTTTTTTGTAAAAGTAGAGGGAATATAGTTTGTTCATTTCTCATGTTGCGCCCAATGTGTCCAGTAGCTACTGGATTCAGGAGCGCTCTTATGTTTTGTTTTGCAAACGAGAAAGCACTACTGGCTATATTATTAATTAGAATTATGAAAATAGAAAGTTGGATACCTGCCACTCTCAAAGATGCAAGTTATGCAAATCAACATAGAAGATGCAACTGTAAGAAAAAACCTCTCGGGAGAATATCATGTTCAGCTTCAAAAAACAAAATCGTGTTGTAATATGCCATTTTTTTTTTGTTTCAAGTAATATTTTTCTTTTGCTTACCACCTAGCATTCGTTTTGCTGCTTGGCAGCTCTTCTCCTGCTTCCAAGTATGGGGGCAATGTTAAATGTTCAAGTAGAGTAAAACAAGTGCCCAGGATAAAACAGTTAAATATGGTCTTTCTGTTTATCAGCAACCGTGTCGATAATTAACACTCTCCTTCCAAGAATATAAGACACCACAACCACTAACACAACTAAGAAATAAGTATTGTCATCTCTTTATTTTGATCGCCCTAATCCAATAGAATCTTGAGTTGAAGGATTAAAAAGAAGACAAATTTGGAGGAGGGATGCTAGTTACTTATATGCATGCATGTCTTATGCTATAAGATATCGGAAAACAGTAGTTGCGCCTTATATTTTGGAAAAGAGTTATTATGTGAACTATTTTAAATGTCTTCTTTATAATATCTACTCCTAGTTAAGATTTAGCTATTCAATCTCGATTTGATGGCAGGCCAATAACCAACAATGTTGAAAACACTGACAAATAACACTAGAAGTTTATTTAGAACAATTTAACTGTACCCGAGTATTTATACGGTCAAAAAAAACAAAAGCATGCGTGTACTTCCAAGAGAATATGAAGCAACACGTGGACCTGGGCTGCCTAAAGAATCCCAATTATTATTTTGACAAACTAAAAGTTGAGAATATTTTCCTTTCCGTGGAAGATACTAAAACATGAAGCGTTTTTCCTTAGCTGCAAAGGAAAGAGGAGAGAAACTCTGCTGGTTCAGCTAGGTACTTTGGCCCAAACATCAGGACTCTGTATGTCTAACTAATTAGACAGCCATTAAATTAGAGAACTTTTATGGTATATTGTACTGCAAGTATATATTACCGGTATATGATAAAGTAGATTTAGTATTTGTTAAAAATCTGAAAATGGTTGTTTAGTCATTTAAAATAGATATTTATTTCCATCGGATTAATTTTCCTTCGGTTGGTTTTTTTTTCCGGATCTCATCATCCGCGTGATAGCGCTTCTTGTCGATATATCTCGCGTCACGTGAATTTACAAAATTAACCCCCACACAAATAGATAAAAAGACAAATATACCCTATTCAATTTATAGGGCTGAATAATTGTGAGGAAGATAAGATGAATTTACACCGTTAGATCAAATATACTGGTAGTATATACTTCAAGTACAATGTACCGTAAAAGTCCTCTTAAATTAAGTTTTCCAGACTTCAACTTGGTAGTTCACTTCACTAATGTTGGAGAGATGTCACGAGGGCTCTCGACCGGACCTGTTGAAACGAGTCAGCGACCATCAGGGCGAAGCACAGCAATGAAGTGTAGATTACCGCAAAGGCGGTGCCTCCGGGCAAAGCTGATGGGCGAAGCCGAAGGCCTTCGCCACCGAGCCAGTTGTCTTCGCCTAGGGACTAGAGAACTGAAGGCCAAGAGGGGGTTGATCCCCCGTAGGAGGCCCACGTAATGGCCCATTAAGGGCCCATGGCCAAAATGTCTCCAATTACCCTTATAAATGTCCCTATCATAAGGGTATCCATATAAATTCCCGTGTATCTATTAGTCCTAGGGTGCATGAGTTTGTACTAAGACTATAAATAGCCCCCGAAGGGCATGCAATGGGGGAATCCCAAAAAAATTCAATATTAATACACATTGTTTTACTTTTCAACCAACAGTGAACCACGTTCTTTGAAGAACGCAGTTGTCATTGGTCAACAGCTAGTGGCAATCGTGGGGAAGCCAGGACGAAACCACCGATGCCATCGAAGAATTCTGTGCGAGAGAGAAAGAGTGGTGCCAAGGACAAAGGAGGGTAAAAACAAGGTCGAGATGGTTGGCGAAGCCGATGATCCTGTGAAGACTGAAGTGGAGCTGGAGCAGCCACGAGTCGAAGGGGGTGGAGAGCAAGTAGGGGTCGGAACTGGGCAACAAGTAGAAGCCACAATAACCCAAGCAACGACTTCGTCCGACCCCGCAACTCAGGCAAGCATGGAGGCCGATGCGTCCACGGCACAAAGGGCGGAGATGGAAGCCATACGACAGTTCATGACAAGGCTGCAAGACATGCTTCGCAATATGCAAGAGCAGCATTAGGCGTACGAGGTAGCCCTACAAGCCAAGGCAACCTGATCGGCATGACACGCTCCGGATTCGACACCCACGTCAATCACAATGGCCATTCAAGCTTCGACTCAAGTGGTGCAGCCGGCTTCGATGGTACAAATGTGTTCCATGCCCCTGGCTATAGCCCCCTTAAATAACAATGGCTCCAGCACGAGCCACGGTTGTCTCGACCCAGCCGGTCCGGACAATCCAAGCTTCGGATGATGCCGCTCCGGCCCTTCAGGCGCAATTTCAAGCATTCCTTTTGTAACTGAGTCAGCCCCACGCAATTCCAAGTTTAACCCCTTCGGTCCAGGCCGTTGGGGGATCAAACTAAGGCGTAGTGGCTTGGCAACTGCCGAGCCAGCTCGACACAAGTTCGTCAGCCCACACGCCTTTGGCATGTTCTCAAGGTGCAACGGCTGGGCCGAGCGACAGAGCGCAAACAGTCCAGCCAAACGTCCAGATCTAGTTGCAAGCGTCAGCGATGTCCTTCGCGCCTCCATGCCCGGGCCTTTTGCCGCAGTACCAACAAGGTTCGTCGCTAAGGGCGGGGGTGAAAAGAAATTACCACTGAGCTGGGGGCGGCGAAATTATCCCATTCCAACGCAGTTCAAGTATACACCAGTTACAAGGTACTCGGACGAAACCAATCCAAGTGAGTTCTTGTCGACTTACGAATCGGTGATAGAGGCAGCTCACGGCGATGAGAATACCAAGGGCAAAGTGATACACCTCGCTTTGGACGGGATAGCCCGATTGTGGTATTTCAATCTGCCCTCAAGCAACATATACTCATGGTAACAGTTGCGTGCTGTCTTTGTCCTGATTTTTCGGAGAACATATGAGGAGCCAAAAACCCAGCAATACTTGTTTGGCATTCGGCAGAAGCCAGGTGAATCCACAAGGGAATACGCAAGACATTTTTCTCAAGCAAGGTGCCAAGTGCAAGACATCACCGAAGCTTATGTAATTAACGCAACTTCGGAAGGCCTTCGCCCCAGCGAACTGACAAGAAAAATTGCAAGAAAATAGCCCCAAACTGTTGAGCATCTTTTCCGCATCACCGATGGCTTTGCTTGAGGCGAAGAGGTTACCAAGTGAAGACGTGAAATTCAGGATGATTACGACAAGGCTGTCGCTGCCCAAGCAAGTTCGCAAGAACCAGCACCACAGCAAGGGGCAAATTGCCCCATGCAACCGACGAACCAAACCCCGACCCCAAGACAAGATCCAAGGTCCATGACGAGGAAGAAGTTTCGCATAGAGAGGGGCAAAGTGGTGATGGTGGTCGAAGAAGTCCAATATCGTTGCAAGAACTTCGACGCAAGTCAAGGGGGCAACCAAGAGCAACTCCCAAGAAAGAAATACAAAAAAAATAGACACTGTGTGTACTACGGGAAATCATCACATACCACTGAATAGTGCTTCAGCACCATGGCCATCCTCAAGCTCTGAAGCCCGGTCAAGCCAGTGGCGAAGATGCGCCGTGCAAAGTAAACCGAAAAAAACCACCACAGGGTGAGCAACAACAAGAAGGGGATAGGAGAATAATCCAACTCATTACAAGAGCCGATCCTGAGACACAGCCGTCGAAGCGCCAAAATAAAATGCAGATTCGCAGCGTGTAGAACATTGCAGCAGCTTCGGTGGCCGATGGGGCACCAAGATTCCTAGCCAGGGAAATTTCCTTCAGCCCTACAGATGCAGAGGGGGTATCTTTTCCTCGTCAAGATCCACTGGTAGTGTCGGCATCGATAGCTGGGTGTGACGTTCAGTGCATACTGGTCGACGGGAGAAGTTTGACAGATGTTATCTTTGATGACGCTTACTCAAAGATGCTGCTGGCGCAAGCCCTATCATGGGCACCGGCTCCGCTTCGTGGTTTTAACGGCGAAGTGATCCAAGTCTTGGATCAAGTGAAGCTGAAAGTGGCGTTAACCCACCGAGAAAACAAGCGCGAGGAGATAATTCTGTTCGACATCATCAACATCCCCCACGACTACAATGCCATTTTCGAGCACACCATGCTGAAAAGGTTTGAGGCAGTCGCCCACCACTACTTCCTAAAGCTTAAAATGTCAGGCCCATGTGAATTAATGGTGGTGAAATGGTTGTAGCCTTTGGCCACGTCAGCTGGTCAAACAGTGGCAGATCGCCGGGAGGTCAACACTTTGCATGCTCAAGATGGCGATGAAACGAGACTTGTGCTGAAGCCGTCTCCACATGGCGAGGTGACCAAGGATCAAATTGACAACTCCGATCCATGCAAAGTTGTCTTGATTGGGTGCGATCTTAGCAAAACAGAGGCAAGCAACATTTTCAATGTAATAGAAAACAACATGGACATCTTCGCCTGGGGGCCTGACGAAGTAGGTGGAGTTTGACAGTCAAGCCAGATGTGAAGCCATGGAAGTAGAAGCGCTTCACCAGATGTCGGCC